CTGGAGGCAGGTTATTCCACTGGTTAATTGTTCTAACTGTCAGGAAGTTTCTCCTTAGTTCTAGGTTGCTTCTCTCCTTGATTAGTTTCCATCCGTTGCTTCTTGTCCTGCCTTCAGGCGCCTTGGAAAATAGCTTGACTCCCTCTTCTTTGTGGCAGCCCCTGAGATATTGGAACACTGCTATCATGTCCCCCCTCATCCTTCTCTTCGTTAAACTAGACATACCCAATTCCAGCAACCGTTCCTTATATGTTTTAGCCTCCAGTCCCCTAATCATCTTTCTTGCTCTTCTCTGTACTCTTTCTAGAGTCTCAATATCTTTTTTACATCGTGGTGACCAAAACTGGATGCAGTATTCCAAGGGTGGCCTTACCAAGGCATTGTAAAGTGGTATTAATACTTCACGTGATCTTGATTCTATCCCTCTGTTAATGTAGCCCAGCACTGTGTTGGCTTTTTTGGCAGCTGCCGCACACTCATATTTAAGTGATTGTCCACTAGGACTCCGAGGTCCCTCTCACAGTTACTACTATTGAGCAAGGTACCCCTATACTATACTTGTACATTTGGTTTTTCTTGCCTAAATGTAGGTGTTCATTGCAATTTTTAATTGTTTCCATCCCCCTCTTTTTCACTGTAGTTTCTAAAATTAATTCCTGGACTTTGTTAGGTCCTTCTCTTTGCTTTGCTTTTGCTTTTCTGCTGCCTATTTTTTCCAAGTTAAAGAGGAGGGGGGGAAAAGGGGAAAATAACTCTTTTCTGAGGCTTCTTGGTCATGTTTCTTTATACTTTGTCCCATTACTCATCTCCTGAACTGTCCTTCCAACATAGCTCCTTTTCTTCGTTGTCCAGTCCTTTCACCAGTCAGCCTGCTCTTCAAGTCTTCCTTCTCAATTCTTCTGGGTGGGGTCTTCCATCACACATTCTACCTTCTTCTGATGATCTTTTCTTCTTTCCTTCAGCATTTGTAGTTGACCTGTTCTGTGATCTATGTGCATCTTCAGCCTAGAAAGAAACTCAAGAAGCCAGATGTGCTTGCTTGCAAGTGTCCTAATTAAACCAAGAGCCTTCTCATATGCTCTGTGAGATCTTCCATGCAGTTGCATGAATCCAATTCTGTCATAAAGTACACCACCATCTTACTCATAGCAGCAGACTCTACCACAGGGATCCTACAGTAGTGGCCAAAATTGTGGAAACCTTTTGGGAAAAGTGTATTTTTGAGGTTTGATGGCTAATAACACCACTTTTTTGGGGAATAGTACCATAAAATTATATATCAATGGAAAGATAATTTAATCAAGAATGTAATGCAACATAGTTTGTTCAATTATCTGTACTGCATTCTATGAAATGTTATAGCCAAATAACCAGAAAAAGGAAGCACAACTTGCTTAGGTTGATATCAGGTAGCTTTCCTTCATCTGATTGTAGCCAATGAGCATGAGTGTTTATTGCCAATCAGGTGTCATCTTGTTTTGGCAGTGAGCCAATCAGATCACAGTAGGATTCAGTTATTGATGTCATGTATTGAAGCTGAGAGGAGGACATTTGTCAGTGTGTTATGTGATCACTGTCAAGTTGGTTGGGTTTTTTTGTGTTCTTTCATTTAGTGAGCTTGTAAAACGTAATAAAATTAAAGTAATGGTGCAAAGAGTTGACTGGTTGCCCAGAAAGCGATGTAAAATAGTATTATTAAGTGAACAAGGCTACAGTTATAAAGAAATTAGAAGAAAAATTGTTGGAAACTTAACCAAAGGTGGCATTTCTACTGTACACTTTTCCCAAAAGGTTTCCACAATTTTGGCCACTACTGTATGTTGCTTCTCATCAAGCTATCAGCTCTAACTATCATAGGTAATATTCAGAGATGATGGGCACTGAAGTCTATCACAGATTCTGATTGGGCTAGATGTTTTATAACTTCATCTATAAAGAGAGGCTGCTGAAGCCACAAATGTAAGTAAGACCTTTCTGTGGACTGCTGTCTTTTCAAATAGCAGCCTAAAGAAAAAAGAGGCCACTAAAATAAAAACTTGTTTTGCTTATATTACATACTTCAGTAGGTTTATTTACCTCTATGTCTTGAAGTTCTAGTTCCTTTTAAACATCTTCTTGTGAAGAAACATACAAAACATAGTTTTTCAGATGTTGTTGTTGTTGTTAGTTGCAAAGTCGTGTCCGACCCATCACAACCCCATGGACAACCTTCCTCCAGGCCTTCCTGTCCTCTACCATCTTCTGGAGTCCATTTAAGCTCATGCCTACTGCTTCAGTGACTCCATCCAGCCACCTCATTCTCTGTCGTCCTCTTCTTCTATTGCCCTCACTCTTTTCCAGCATTAGGCTCTTCTCCAGTGAGTCCTTCCTTCTCATTAGGTGGCCAAAGTACTTGAGTTTCAACTTCAGGATCTGGCCTTCTAAAGAGCAGTCAGGGTTGATCTCCTCTAGGACTGACCGGTTTGATCGCCTTGCAGTCGAGGGGACTCGCAGGAGTCTTCTCCAGCACCATAGTTCAAATATGTTATCTATTATCAAATACATTTATCTAGTTTTCATAGTCCATTTCTGGAGACTGCTTGCTGTCCCAGCTTCCAAACAGTAAGAAGGTGGATGGTAATTCATCAGTTTAGTTAAGATGGGTGATGAACTTCTCCCCCCCACCCATCCCTTTTCTCTTTTTCTCTCTTTCTTTCTCTCCATCAACAGATTCTCCATTTTTGCAGGAAAAGGCAAGATAAACAGTGATATCTGAACTGTATCCAAATAGGCACATTCTCAATAAATACCTGTCTCACAAAAGATATCCGTGTTATGCCAACTTAATTGTTATAGCTGTTCTCCAAGCAGAGATCAGCCTTTTTTTTCTTGTTAAGGCACCATCCTGTGTAGCTGGTTGGGAATTGTTGAAGTTATCCAGAGGCATGAGCAAAGCTTCCCCTCTCTAGACAAGAATCTCATATGTTGGGGAGCAGAGGGTGAGTTTATGGAGAAAAGGGGCAATTTGCAACCAAGAACAGTGGAGCTTTCTTCTATGCTGCAAAGAATGCTGGGAACTGTAGTTTGATCAGTAGACTGACTATTCTTCATTTGATGTCAGAGGCAGGCTAATATCTGCTATTGTGTAAGAAATAAAATAATGGGGCTGCATAGAATGTGTTAGTTTAGAAGGGATATAATCTCTGTCCTCATTCACATTTTTGGAGGAACAATCAGCAGTTAATCGGACATCTTCAGAGAAGTAGCTGGTGCTCGTATATCTATATAAATAAAAATGTAAATGTTCGTTTGTTCAAAATCTTAAATCTCCGAAAGTTCTTCACCGATTGCTTTGAAATTTTGACACAACGTTGCATTTGAATACGCACGTGTTTTTATAAATCTACTATTATATAGATGTTACACCTGTGACAGGTAAAAACATTTAACCTGTCTGAGCCACAGCAACCCGTGGCTGGGTACAGCTAGTAATTTAATATCAAGGAAGGGATAGGAGGGATTATGCTGAGTTGCACCTGAGAGCATTTCCATTCCAGACATCCACTTCAACAATCATTTTACCTTTGGAGCAAGTTATAATTAAATCCCAATATTCAGTTCAATCTCTTGAGCCTGATTCCTGGAGGTAAAATAATTTAGGGATGACCTTGGGAGAAGTTATGAAAGAACTGTTAAGAAGAAAGCTGAAAAATCAATCAGATCTTACTTTCAGTCATGGGCCAGACTAAAACTTGCAGAAAACTTTGCACAATCCAGAAACTGAAGCAAGCCTGAGAAAGAAACTAAAAAAAAACAAACCCTGCCTTGATTTTGTTTTGTATAAGATGGGACAGAGAGACATTTGGACAGGCTTTCAAAACTGATGCCAGCCCTACAAGATAGGGCAGCCCTTCAAGACAGATGCCACAGAAATTTCTGGAGTTCTCCTTTATTATTGTAGGGTACATTACATCTTACAATAAACAAAAATCAAGGAGGCGTTATTTTCAGTTTCTTTCTCTTATTTCTTTCTGTCTTTGTACTAGGTAATCTTTCTGCATGTCCTTTAATCCAAAGCAATTTCTAAATTCTTTTACTCTGGATCAAGTGATTCCAGACATTATTTTGGGATGTACTACCTTCTTCCTTTTTATATATTGAATCTTGACTGCTGTTTTACCTTATAGAAAACATTCACCTTTTTTGAGCACCATCCTGCGATAGGAGGCTCAATCTCTGTGTTGTGAATATTCTGTTAAAAGAGACATAATACCAAGATCACATCTGCTAACTCATGTTAATTTAATTAACATGAACAGTGTGTATCTAAAGCTTCTTTTTAGTTGGCTGAGCCAGACCAAATCTTTGCTCGTGATAAGAACATAAAACAGTTATTGGATGCAGTTAGGCCTTGTAGGCGGGGGAGAATGTAAAGAGACTATTTTGGTTGCTTGCTGTTTTAAAACCATGTTGTTTTCCATTAATGTCACCATGCCTGGGGATCCAGTGGTAGTACGGAGCCTGTGAGTTGGTTATATTGATAGCAATTGCATAGATTGTACTCTCCCACAAATTAGGTTGTATGGTTTTAACTGTTTTAATTGGCTTTGGATTGCTTTTTATTTTAATTGTTTATTGTTTTGTTATTTAACTGTGTGAACGGCCCAGTCACAAATGTGAAATGGGGGGGGCTACATAAATTAAACAAACAAACAAAATGTGTGAAGTTGCCTAGAAGCCATCATTTAATAATGTGTTATCTCTTTTGTCATCAGCATTTAGAGCATGATAAAAACAGGAAGCGTAGAATTAAATTTAATAGGGTTAGAAATGTGTAGTTGTTTCATTTTTTTAAAAACATGCTTTAACCAGATGTATTTTGTGGTAACTCTTTTGCAATGTAGCATTACTAAAATTACGTTTTTTCAGGCTTGAAAGTTATAAAACCTATGGTCAGGTTAATCTGGGAGTCTGAAAACAATAAGTAACTGTTTATTCTTGTTCCCCTTTTAAATCTGCAGCTCAGTATTTTGCAAGCATCATGGTCATTGTTGGTTTATCTGTCGTAGTAACAGTCTTGGTGCTTCAGTGTCATCATCATGACCCTCAAGCAGGAAAGATGCCCCAGTGGGTAAGTGACAACTACACATCAGCCTTCATAAACAGCAATACCTTTTGTATTTCATCACTTAGACAATGCTAGAAAGAACATGATTTTAAGGATACGATACTAATTCTTACTTCCTCTCCTCACCTTGGTGTATGCTGACCCTGCAGGGTTTATGACTGACCAAGCAGGATACCTTTCTTTTCTTTTTGTTTTTTCAAAAAAATCCAGTATTTCTATTTCTTTTAATATAGTCAAAAAGGAAAATAAGGAAAAGTGAGTTAAAAATTAAACAAAAACAAGAATACAGAACAGTCACACAAAAAAAGAGACTTCTGACTCACCCTTATGGGTGGTTTGTGTCTTCCTCAGTTGTGGGTCCTATACCAGAGACCTGGGAGTTTGAGGGTTTGTGCAGCATCTTAGCTGTTCCTAGCCCTGCACTCTTTTAGACAGAAAGCTCTGATGCTCTTCCTGGGATCTGTTGAAATCACTCTCCCAGCTTAGGGGGTCACAGCCCCAAGTGCTCCTACTACCACTGGGACTACTGCGATCTTTATTTTCCTCATCC